AAATTGATTTCACCAGAAAGCAACATTTAAACAAGTACACATCGATGCATAGTAAAAAGATACACACATCTATAAACAATGCAGTGATTTTTTCTTACCAAAATAACTCTCTTGTATCTCCAACAGCCACTTAAGAGATCACCTGGTCAGCACGTGTTCCCTTAAAGTGCCTACGTGGGTAGATTCTTGGTACATCTTTTTTGGAATTTCAGTGGAGATAATCGCCATTTTTTTCCATGTCGATTGCGAACATATTTAAAGTTTTTTTTATTTTGTATTAATCGTTTTTCGTTTTCTCTTTCTTGTTTGTTTTATTGTTTTAACTTATCAAATATCGTTTGGCTTGTTTAAAATATCGTATTACGTATTCTGTTTGTCTTTTGTTTGACTGTTTTTTTTAAGTAGCTTATTGTATAACTTATTTGCTATCTTATCTGTATTTTTCTCTTAATCTATATTCATTATCAAACTGCAGTAAATGTTACGTAATTTCTTTTATTTAAGGAATTTATCATATAAACTTGAAAACAACGGCACTGAGTATAAATTAAGTTTATATTTGGTACGAAATAAATTCATAGATAAATAGATAAATTAATAAATAATGACAACTGTCTAAGTGTTTACTATTATAACTAAAATACATCAACTGAAATCTATTAACTAATGGAAAGATTCATATTAGATTGTTCAATGTTCATAAGGAGTTGGGTATGTCCCACTTTTTTATATGGCTTTCGATTCCTATATGTAATTATGTAATAAGAGAAGAACTGTTGTTAAGAGGTAAGTTAAAAAAAAATCAGCATTTACCTATTTTTCTCCAAATGCGAAAAATGACCAATTGTTTGCTTTAACGATGCTGTTCATTGGTAAAAGGATGAACGATTATTCAATTCATGCAGTTTTTTCTACCTGGAAGAAATTTCTAACCGTTATTTAATTCCTTATATAACTGATTTAAGTCTAAAAATCATTTCTAATTCCATTTCTTCCAAACACTTTTTTCTTCCTTATAAACTCAGAAAGAATCCAACTCCATAGTAATAAAGAATCCAATTCCTTATACTGATGCTTCGACCCTATGAACCCATTATGGCTTGCACCTGATGCCACATATTCTCGAATTTTGGATTACATAACTTAATTGTCCTAAAAACAAACATTTTACTACATATGCATAAATTGCTTCATTAATTTCCACGCTCTTACCATGCTGTATTATTATTGTTACAGATCTGGATGAAGATAAATGAATAAAATAATAATAATATAAGAAACAGTTGTAGCTGGAGGGAGCGGGTAGGGAAAAGGGAGGGGGAGGGGAGGGGTAAGGGGGAGGGAGGAGGGAGGAAGACGTCCTTGAAACACTCCAGACTTTCAAGAGATGATCACGTGATCAAATGCATATACGCTAACAGAAAAACAATAAAAACAGAAACACATAAATAAATCGATTATCAAAGTGAAAAAAACAATGACCAGAAAGTAGGAAAAGGGAAGAATAGAAAACCTTCGATGTCAGGTGAAAACAAAACAAAACAAACATAAACAAACATTTGACAGAGAGTGTAGTCACGTGACCAAGTACGTATCTGTTGACAAATAGTCAAAAGAAAGAAAGAATAAATATATAATGCAAACAATTATAAAAAGGGGGGTAGGGGAGAAAAAAACTAAAAGAAATGTATATATGTATATATACATACATATTTATATACATATATATACATATAATCATAATATTATTCAAGTAAATAAACATGGATCGGAACCTAAGTAAGTAGGTAAAGCATTTGTTGACAAAACAAAACAAAACAAAAAATTATGACAATAATAATAAATGAATAAATACAGTGAAAATTGGTTATGAGAAGGGGGAAGGGGAAAGAAGCGAGGAGAGAGAGACAAAAAAAAGTAAATAAATACAGAGACATAAGACATGCAGCGCCACATGCTTACAATTATTTCAAGCCCTGCGGGAGGAGCTTCGGCGCTGTCGGGCGTACGAGAAACTACTGGGCCAAAGTATCGTACCGCTTGAACAAAGCCAAGTATCCCACACACGGATCGTCTCATGAAAGGCTTTCTTTTTGGAGTTGGAAATGTTTGTTAGAAATAAATCAGCTGTACAAGAAATTAAATTACGGTTAGAAATTTCTTTCAGGAAGAAAAAACTGCATGAATTGAATAATAGTTCAGCAAAAAAAAAAAAAAAAAAAAAAAAAAAAAAAAAAACCTGCATGAATTGAATAATAGTTCATCCTCTAAGTGAAATGTGATTATGATGACTATTGAGATCTGAATAGCTTGTACCTGATGCCACATCATATCCTAGAATTATAGATGATATAACTTAATTTTCCTAAAAAAAAACATATTTAACTACACATGCATAAATTGCGTAATTTATTTCCACACTTCTACCATCCTATATCATTATTATTAAAAGTCAATGTTCATATAGAGTAGATTTTGATCATTATAGACGGTAAATGATAAAACAATGAAAATATAGGAAAATGAAAATAATGATAATGACAGTGATGAGGGTAATTATGGCATAGTACATTCATATTGTGCTTATTCATTAATTAAGCCGACCATCCATGTTATATTTCGTTAGTAGTTATCGATATGAATCTCTTGATACTTAATGTGTTTGGAGAAAAATTATTATGATACTTATCATTTTTATTGCTACGGTGATAATGATAACAAAAAAGTAATCATAATAATAATGATGATAATGATAATAATGGTTATCATTAATAACCATTATTATCATTATCATTATTATCACTTATTATTAATATCATTTATGTGGAAGACAAAAGACAAGTTAATATTTTAGCATTTGTGGAGTTTCATTCGAGGGATCACTTGCCGCCCATCAAAATGTATACAAATTCCAATGTTTTGCTCTGGCTGCAACTATGCACTTGTGTTTATTCATTTTTGATAAATTTCAAAACATATAGTGTATTTGTTATTCTTGAAAATCTCGTTTCTTATTTCAAAACGGTTATTTTAAAAATAATCATATACATTTTGCAAGTTTAAAGGCGCGTGCCACGCAAAAAAAATCCAAACGATTATTTCTCACACATTTATTTTATGGCCTTTTGAGCCTAAACATTAACGTAAAATCATTACATATAATCCTATACTATTTTCACATGCGTTTCAACATAAAATATCTATCATATACTCCTTGAATGGCCAAATGAAGAGTTACAAAATAAAATGCAAGAAGTATTTGGCATCTCTTCGGAGGTAGGATGCGCATGCGTGTTGACCAGCTGATTGGCCAGTTTGGTGCGTCAGTGTGACAAAGCCTAAAAATTGTGTGTCTAGATAGATATATGTCGACAAACAAAATAATAATAATAATAATAATAATAGTAATAATAATAGAAGAAAATGAGAGGGGAAGACTACGAAAAAAGAAGAAAAACAAGGATAAAATCACATAACGAATATATTTCTGGTGACAAGAAATGGGCAAGGGGAGGAGAGAGGAGGACAAGGGGGTGAGTGCTTGAAGCATGGATTCTTAATTTTAAAAAAATAATAAAATAATAATAATAATATAATAACAATCGACAAAAAAAGAACAGAAATCACGTGACCTGACAGTTTTGTTGACGTGAGGCGAGGAGGGAGGGGGGGAAGACCTTTCTTCAACCTTCACACGTGATGTTATTATCGAAATTAGATAAAAAAGAAAAAAAATAGAAATCATGTGACCAAATACGCATTTGTGTAAAGAGGTGTAAGAGTAAGTGGGGAAGGTAGGGGGAAAGAGGATGGAGGGAGGGAGGAGGGGCAGAGGGAGAGAGAGGGGAGAGGGAGAGGGGGAGAGAGGAGAGGGAAATAGAGGGAGGGAGGGGGAGAGGGGTAGGGAAGGGAGCGGAGGAGAGACGAGGGAGAGGAGGAGGGAAATATAGGGAGGGAGGGGAGGAGGGTAGCAGAAGGAGAGAAGATGAGGGAAATTGAGGGAGAAGAGGAGGAGGGAACAGGAGGAGTGGAAAAGGGAGTAAGAGGGTACATGAAAAAGAAGAGGAAGAAAGAGGGAGGGAAGAGGGAGGGGAGGAGGGGATAGCGGGTGCAAGGAGAAAGGAAAGGAAGAAGCCGAATAGGAGAATAGAGGAAAAAGAAGGAGGAGGATTGAGAAGGCATAAAGACAAAAATATCACAAAATAATAGTATCTCTAATAAATATAACGAGGAAGAGAGAGAGAGAGAGAGCAATGTAAAAGAAGGAGAATAGGTAAGGGGGAAAATCGTATACACGTAAAAAAAAAAAAAAAAAAAAAAATCTATACAAAACAAAAATATATAATAATAATGATAAATTGCGATTAATCGTAATATACGTGGAAGAAAGCACGTGTGTAAGTAAGCTACAATAAAAACACAATCGAAATCAGAGTGATTAGAGTGGTGGGGGAGAGGGGGAGGGAGGAGTAAGGAGAAGGAAGAGTGGAATGTAGGGGAGGAGTGGGGGGAGAACGAGAAGTGAGGGGGAAGAAGGTGTGGGGAGAAGAGAGGGAGGAGGAGAGAAGTGAGGGAGGGGAGATGGAGGGAGGGTGTGGGGGAAGAGAGGATGTGGTGAAAGAAGGGGAGGTGAAGGGAGAGGAGAAAAGGAGAAGAGAGAGGAAGGAGGGATGGAGAAGAGAGAGAGAAAGAGCAGGGAGAGAAGAAGAAGGGCAGGACGAGGAGGAGGAGAAAGGAGAGAGAGGAGAAGAAGAAGAGGAGGACGGAGAGGAGGGAAGAAGAGGGAGTGGAGGAGGCCAGAAAGAAAAAGGAGGGAGAGATAAGACCCAAGCATTAGCCAGGGTCGAGAAAAAAGAGAGACAGAGAGAGTGATAATGAGAGAGAGAGAGAGAGACTGGGGGCTGGGGGAGGGGCCAGAGAAGACAAAGAGTGGGGGGTGAGGGAGGGTCTAAGAGGGAGGAGGAGGGGGAGGAGGGGTCCGGGAGCGAATCAATCACAAGGTATGTAAGGGGGCATCCGCCGGTCATGCCAGTCAGTAGCTCTTTGACTACGACTCAGGCTTTCGGAGCTACCCAGCAGGTCAGTCCAAATCGATACTTATTTACCAGCCGGTCGGGAAATTATTTTTCTTTTTCAAATCTTTTAAGCTACGGTTGAGTATTTTATTATTTGAAAGTGTGACCATTATGATATCGAATATTGATATTATTTATTTATGTTTATCGTAGTCATTAAAATAAACCGAAATCGCTACTTATTTACCAGCCGGTTAGGAAATCATTTTTCGTTTTCAGATCTTTTAAGCTACGGTTTGCCAGCCGGTCAGGAAATTATTTTTCGTTTTTAAACCTTTTAAGCTACAGTGTTTGATTATTTTGAACGTGTGACCAATATAATATCGGATATTGATATTGTTATTATCGGTGTCATTGATATAAACCGAGATCGATACTTATTTACCAGCGGGTTGCGAAAATGGAGGGAAATCGATTTTTGGAAATATTTTGCACAACCGTTCAGGATTTTACGATTTTTTGAAAAGTGCGATCCTTGTGATTTGGAATATCGTTATTTTTATTATTTTATTTTCTAATTATCATTGAAGTTAGTTCGAAAATCGATACTTATTTGCCAGCCGGTTGCGAAAATAGAGGAAAATCGATTAAAAAAAATATTTTAAACTACCATTCAGGATTTTATGTTTTTTTGAAAAGTGCGATGCTTATGATATGGAATATCGTTATTATTATTATTATTATTATTATTCTAATTATCAGTGAAGTTAGTCGAAATCATACTTTATTTCAGCCATTTCGCGAAAATTTTGGAAAATCTGTTTTTTTTTTTTTAATATTCTTAAAATTCATTCAGGATTTTATGAATTTTTGAAAAGTGCGCTGCTTATGATATGGAATATCGTTATTGTTATTATCTAATTATCATTGTTGAATTAGTCGAAATCATACTTATTTGCCGCCGTTTTAGCGAAATTAGAGAAATTCGATTTTAAAAAATATTTTAAACTATCATTGCGAGGATTTTTTTTTTTTTTTTTAAGTGCATAGGAATATCTCTTTATTTCCATTATTATTATTATTATTATTATTATTATTATCAGCTGAAGTTATGTCGAAATCGATACTTATTTGCCAGCCGGTCGCGGAAAATAGATGGAAAATCGGAGGTTTTTTTTTTAATATTTTAAACTACCATTCAGGATTTTTTTATTTTTTTTTAAGTTTAGTGCATATGGATATCCTTATTGGCATTGCATTATTATTATTATTATTATCTCACTGAAGTTAGTCGAAATCGATACTTATTTGCCAGCCGGTTGCGAAAATAGAGGAAAATCGATTTTTTTTTAATATTCTAAATTACCATTCATTTGGATTTTGTGTTTTTTTTTTTTTTTAAGTGCATATGGAATAGTCCTTATTAGCATTATTATTATTATTATTATTATTATTATCACTGAAGTTAGTCGAAATCGGATACTTATTGTGCGCAGCGCCAGTCTGGAAGGATAGAAGGATCGGCAAAATCGATTGTTTTTTATTTTTTTTTACAGTGCATCAGGAGATTTTTTTATTATCATTTATATTATTATTATTATTATTATTTTATTTTATTCACTGAAGTTAGTAGGCGAAATCGATACTTAATTGCAGCTAGGGCGCAGGTCCGGGGGAAAAGAAGATTCTATCTTTTTTTTAAATGTTTCGAGCTTTCACGTTTCAGTGCATTTTTCACAAAGTAATGATCTTCATAACATAGATATTAATTATGCGATCATTATCGTAATATCTATTATCACTAATTAATACCATCATCCTTATTATCCTTATTAGTCGATATTGATGCTTCTTTCCTCGCCAGTCGCGAAAAGTTATGCAAATCGATTTTTAAAATTCCTTTAAAGCAGAGAGTTCAGAATTTTGAATATTTTTTTTAAATGATTAATATATTTAATTTGTGTATTCTTATTATTATTATTTCATTCTTATCGTTATTTCTATGATTGATTATATTGTGATTATCATTAGCTAACGCCAAAGAATTAGAAAGTCGCACAAATCGATACTTTATTTGGATATGTTGTACTGCATTTTTTTCTCTTTTTTGTGATCATTGTAATATTCTATATAATGTGTTGAATTATTGACTATTATAGTTATTATTTTTGACAATGTATAGTTATCATGTATTAACCCGATTAAGTTATATATTACCATTGTAGTTATACTGTGAATGGACTACTATGTGATAATGGTTATTACTGGTTGGTTATTATTACTATTATACCAATTATTGGGATGATTAATTAAATCGAGACTCATTTTGCCGCCCTTCGCGAAGAAATATGGAGAAATGGGCGATTAATTTCATTTTTGACCTATTTTAGGATCTTTCTTTCGTAGTGTGTTATAATTGCTATTTGAATTTTACTACATTACATTATTATTATTATTAATAGCATCATTGCTATTATCAAAACTCATACCTAATATGCTAGTAATGGAAAACATTCTTTTTTGTCCCACGTAGAATACAGTTCCACTTTCATTGATTTTAAAAAATGTGATCATCATAAAATCTAATATTGCCTTTGTTAATAACTTTTCATTATCATTATTGCTATTATTTGTTTTGTTGATTATAGATGGTTATTGTTCTCGGTCCTTTAATTTTCGTATTTAGAATATAGAGAAAAACGAATATGAAAATGTGTACAAATGTAATGCTAAAAAATTAGGATAAAATAGGGAAAAAGAAGAGAAGAGAGCAGAGAAGAAGAGAGAGAGAGAGAGAGAGAGAGAGAGAGATGAGGAGAGAGAGAGAGAGAGAGGAGGAGAGAGGAGACGAGAGAGAGAGAGAGAGAGAAGAGAGAGAGAGAGACAGACCGAGAGAGATAGAGAGAGAGAGAGAGAGAGAGGAGAGGAGAGAGAGAAGAAGAGAGAGAGAGAAGAGAGAGAGAGAGAGGCAGACAGACAGACAGAGATAAAGACAGAAAAGAAGAAAGAGAGAGAGAGAGAGGAGAGAAAGTAGAACTAATGCAAATTATTGACTATAATTCACCATGATTTTACCCTCATCGTCCCACATGTATAAAAATAAGCCAAAGACGGCCAGGGACTCAAAAAAGAAAAAAGAAAAAAAAAAAAAAAAAAAAAAAAAAACATGATGCACGAGTATGTAGGTCTGCAGACTTTTATCTTGCCAAGATTGCACTGAATCATTTTATAGCGTGTCGAGTATCCTTACTACTTCCGATAATAATAATGATATTATTACAACTACCACGGATACTTATTAATTATTACCACGACCACGATCACCCGGAGAGTCATTTACTACTACGACCACTGATTCTGCTTCTGCTTCCTATGTATGCAATAGGTTCGGAAAATTTTACAAAAACGCTTGATTTTTCCGACGTTATCGCGGGCTTTGCAATGGCGGTAAAGCTCGTAAAAGAAAACATTTTTTCTGCAATGTTTTGGCTAAAGGTGATGTTTTATTTCTATGGTGTATTTTTTTTTCTATTTCTCTGTAGATTTTACTTAAAAGTGATATTTTAGTTCCCAAAATAATTCTTGAGAGAAGCTAAGGACCATACAGCGGCATTCATGAACTGGCAGAGAACGATGCTCCTATATATATATATATATATATATATATATATAATATATATATATATATATATATATATAGTTTTTTTTTTTTTTTTTTTTTTTTTTTTTTTTTTTTTTTTTTTTGGCATTCGCTGATCATATGTAAAACACATAGTTGACAATTGCTTAGTTAAGAATTGACACTATAACAAACTTGTTAGGACAGAGAACCTGAGATGTAGCTTAATAGGGAGAGAAACAACACATTTCAAAAATGAGAGAGAGAGAGAGAGAGAGAGAGAGAGAGAGAGAGAGAGAGAGAGAGAGAGAGAGAGGAGAGAGAGAGAGAGAGAGAGAGAGAGAAGGAGATGAGGCAGAAAGACAGAAAAAGGGAGAGAGAGGGGCAGAGAGGAAGAGGGAGGAAGAGAGTGAGAGTGAGAGAGAAAGAGAAAGCTTTACCCACAGGTGTTTTTTTCTGGGGGGGGGGGGTTATTCATAGAAAGCAACTTTTATGTTAGTTTTTGATAACGTCTATGGGGTTATTGCATTTATATACTTCGGTAACGCGAATGAAATGAAAGGTTAATAGGAAAATGCATTTTAACCCGTGTCTTCCTGTTCTTTTCTATCTTTCTGTCGTTCCATTTTTTTCTCTCCTCTCTCTCCTTCCCTTCCTCTCTTCCACTCTCACTCCTCCCTTCCCCTCTACTCCCTCCCTTCCCTCCCTTCTCTCTCCCTCCCTTCCCCTCTCCTACTCCCTCACTCCTCTCTCCCCTTCCGCTCCCCTTCTCCCTCACTCCCTCCCTCCCTTCCCTACTCCTCCCCTTCTCTCTCCATTCCTCCCTTCCTCCCTTCTCTCTCCCTCCCTCCCTCCTTCCCTCCCCTCCTCCCTCCTCCTTCCCTTCCCCCTCTCCCTTCCCCTCCCCTTTCCTATCCCTTCCCCTCCCTCCCTTCCTCCTTTCCTTCCTTCCCCCCTTTCCTATCCCTTCTCTCTCCTTCCCCTCCCCTTCTCCTCCCTCCCCTCCCCCTATCCCTCCCCTCCTTCTCCCTCACTCCCTTCCCTTTCTCCCTCACCCCCCCCTTATCACTGCTTTATCTGGTACTATAACAGGAAGATAAGACACGATAGCTCCTCAGCACTAATTGAAGACAAACCCTCAGTATTTGACAGTTCAAGTGGTTTCGAAATCGCAGTGAAACTCCATCTACCTATCTCTCTCTCTCTCTCTTTCAATCCCTCCTTCCCTCGCCCTCTCTTCCTTTCCCTCCTCCCTTTTTCTGTCTCTGCCTCTGTAACTGTCTCTCTCTCTCTCTCTCTTTCCCTCCTCCCTCTTTCTGTCTTTCTCCCCTTGTCTATTTCTACCTCTCTCCCTCTCTCATTTATTAATCAATCTCTCTATCTCTCTATTTATACATTTCTTACCTTTCTTCCTCCCAGGCGACACCAACAGCAGGCAAGATGGCGGAGCAGGGGATGTCATCAGCTGATCTGGTAAACAACGCAAGACCCGCTCGGGCGACGCAGTACATCGCCGCTCTGTCGGGTGAGGAGGACCGGGGTGATTAGGGTGATAATGAGGGATGATAAGGAGGATGAGGATAATGGTGGTGATGGTAGTAATTTGGATATGGATAATTATGGTCACGATAATAAAAAATGATAATGATAGTGATATATATAATAATGATAATATTAATAATAGTAAGATTAACAATAATAAAAGTAATATCAATGATAATAACAATGACTATCATGACAACAAAATAACATTAATAATAAAAATAATAACAACAATAATAATGGTATAGATTTTCGCTTAACCTTCCCTCCCTTCCTTCTTCCTATCCTGTTTCGCTCAACCTTCTGACACTGAAGCCAAACCTCATTTCCCAAACAGCAACGATGGGCGCCCTCTGCTTCGGCACGGCCCTCGGCTACTCCTCCCCGGCGGGCATCCTGCTGACCAGCAACTCCACAGACAGTTCCCTGCAGCTGACCACCGTCGAAAACAGCTGGTTCTCCTCGTCGGTCAACCTCGGGGCTCTCGTGGGCGGCCCCATCGGCGGCCTCTGCATCAACGCCATCGGGCGGCGGGGAACCTTGCTGGCCGTGTTTCCGTTTTTCTTCGGGTCCTGGACGATCATCGGTGAGGGGGGACTCGCGTGTTTGTCGTATTTTTTTTATTGGTGTTTGTTTGTTTTTATTGTTTGCTTATTGTGTTGTTAGTGGTGGTGCTTATTTGTGTCCTAATTTATATTCGTTGGATTTCTCTTCGTTTTTCTTATTATTGTTAGTACGTTATTTTCATTTCATTTTTTCAGTCCGTTGGTGAGGGGACTCGTGTGTGTTTGGTGTTATTTTTCTTTGTACTTTTTGTGTTTGTTTTATTGTTTTTCTCTCTTATTGTCATTGTTTTATATCTTTATTATTGTATTTCATTATTTTATCTATTCATTTATTTTTGCTGTTCACACTTCTGCTTGAATATCATGTTACTGATCGTATTTACGTATTTATCAATCTCATTTCCTTATCTACCCTACATTTAACCTAACCAAATCCCTAAACAGTAGACGTGCTCTATATTTACACAAATATATATACATAAAACTCAAAAAAATTACATAAAACCAACTGCAAAAAAAATGTGCATTCTTCTCTGCAGTTTTCGCTCAGAACTTCGCCATGCTGTTGGTGGGTCGCATCATCGCTGGACTGTGCACGGGGGTCATGTGCATCTCGGCTCCCACTTACATCGGGGAATTCGCCTCTGCGGACATCAGGGGAATGTTAGGTAGGCCTACAGGCAGAGCGATGTTGCCCCTATATATATATATATATATATATATATATATATATATATATATATATATATATATATAATATATATGTATATATATACATACATATATATATATGTATATATACATACATATACATATATATATATATATATATATATATATATATATATATATATATATATATATATAACACACACACACGCACACACACGATCGCACACACACATATAAATATATATATAAACACATACACACACACACACACACACACACACACACCACACACACCACACATATATATATTATATATATATATATATATATATAATATATATATATATATATATATATATATATATATAACGTGAAACGAAAATCTCCCTCTATTGACCATCATCCAAATCAACATAAACACTACACAAACGCATATCGAAGTGTAGCTGAGTCTTCCATTCATAAATTACTTCCCCGACCACAGGCTCAGGTTTCCAGCTGATGGTCGTGATTGGCATTCTCTACGCATACGTCTTCGGTGCCTTTATAAACAGCTGGCAGATACTCGCGGTTGTGTGCGCTGTCCCGACCCTCATCTTCTGCGTGCTAATGGTCTTCTCAAAGGAGTCCCCCAGTTACCTTCTCTCTAAGGGGAAGGATAAGGAGGCCCAGGAAGCTATGCAATACTTCAGAGGTAAGGAAGGATTAGGAACAACAAAGGGTAAGAGAGGTATAAGTGGATATGCAAATGAGTGATGGGTTTTGTGGCACGAAATATCCTTATACTGTGATTCTCGAACTAAAGTGCATCTGGTCTCAGAAAAGAATGAACTGGCAACTCATTCTGGATTTTGGAGCAATCCGATTCACTAATTCTCTTTTGCCTATAATCAGCTGACATGTGTTTACATATGTGATATATTTTTGATCTTATATATAGAATATCTTGTTTTTTAAATGAAATTCTGATGCATTTACTATAACTTTTCTTTCACTGAAAAGAGAGTTAGCGAATCGAAGCCTTTCAGAATTGGGAGTAAGTTGCCAGATTTTTCTTTTCTGAGATTGGACGGAGGAAAGTCGACCCAAAGATGCTAATCCTCTCGCTCTCTCTCTCTCCCAGGACCCGACTACAACATCCAGCCCGAGATGCAGATGTTGAAGCAGATTCTCGAGGACTCCAAAGCGAACAAGGCCTCTTTCTCGGACCTCAAGCAGGCGTATATCTTGAAGCCTCTCCTTATCGCCCTTGCACTCATGTTATTCCAACAGCTCTCGGGGATCAACGCTGTTATCTTTAACTTGAAGACTATCTTTGCGGTAAGGGGGAAGAGGAGGATATCCTTTATTTTCTCATTCTCTCTATCTTTCTTTCTGTATGTTTGTGTTTCTCTCATTCATTCTTTCTAATTTTCTATGTCTATCCGTCTGTCTTTCTCTTTCCTTTTTCTACCTTTCTTTTGTCTTCCGTCTCCGTCACGGTCTCCGTCTCTCTCTCTCTCACTTATTCCTTCTTTCTACCTTTCTTTTTGTCTGTCTGTCTCCGTCTCCGTCACGGTGTCCGTCTCCCTCTCTTTTACTCACTCTCTCTACCTTTTTCTTTGTCTGTCTCCGTCTCTCTCTCTCCCTTTTCACTCCCTATCTACACATACATGTACACACAAACGCAATATACACATATCCATATACGTGCATAATAACCCTTTCCCATATGAAAGAATCACGAACAAATTCCTTTCCTTCATCTCTTCCTCATCATCTCTCCCACGACAGGACTCGGGAACAGACCTCTCCGATGACGTCAGCTCGATCATCGTCGGTTTAGTTCAGGTTCTGGCCACTGCTTTCGCTAGTGTGCTCATGGACAAAGCTGGCAGGAAATTTCTTCTGATCATATCTGCGGCGGCCATGATTGTATCTCTAGGTGTGTATGTTGGTTTTGATTTTTTCTTCTTTGCACTGTATTTTTGTTGTATTGTAAGTCTTTTTTTATTATTATGGTGCGGTACTGTCGAAATGGTATTAATTGTATTTCTTTGCAAAAGTGCCGTGTTCTAAATTTCCCTCAACAGAAATTTATATTAGACATTTCCAGTGGTCTCTGCTCTCTGTTACTAACTCCTGTTTTTCCTTGATTTTTAAAAAAAGACCGAACTTCTTAACACATGTTTCCCAAAAGTTTTTTTTTCTAAATTACTAACTCATATTTCCCTTTAAAAATCGGATTTTCAAACGGCTTATTCATATATCCGGCTACAATCTCAGAATGTTCTAAACTACTCCCCAAATTATCAAAATCCTCTAAATTCCCAACACCAACTAAACTCACCCCATCACATTTCCCCGTCAAAAAATTGAAAACAATAAAATAATCGTAACAAAAATAGTAAAAATAACAACGATAAACAGATAAATAAATAATTACATAAAAACGCACAATCTCCATCAACAGTGAGTCTCGGAGTCTTCTTCTACCTGAAAGACAACGGTGACGTCAGCGCCCTCGGATGGCTCCCTATTACGTCATTGATCATCTACATTGCGTCATTCAGTATCGGCTACGGACCTATTCCTTGGATCATGATGAGTAAGTGAAGTCACGATGAGTGTCTGGGTTCGTGTAATCTTGTGTTTGAGTTGTAAGTATACAAGGAAGAAAATTTCAAGTATATGAGGAAAGGATCTTGAGTAATTGTTTTAAATGTGATAATTTTACGATTAAGAATTATATATTAATAATATATATATATATATATATATATAATATATATATATTATATATATTATAAGTTCATGAGTTCTGTAATTTAGTGCAGTAAGAGTATGAGTATAGGGTATCGGACAAACGCACACACTATAACAAGCACACACGCCCGCACGCGCATGTGTGTGTGTGTGAGAGAGAGAGAGAGAGAGGGAGAGGGAGAGAGAGAGAGAGAGAGAGAAGAGAAAACCGCATACATCTACAAAATCTCATCTAAAGCCACTAACATTTACCGTAAAAAAATCAAATCAGTCATCCGAGACACCACCCCGCCGATAATGATAACAAGAACACAAACAAAAAATCGATATAGAAGACCCAATGTCATTCTGACAAGGAGCTAAAATTAAAACAGAATGACAAGTATTTCGGAAAATTATCTTTTTAGCGTTATCAGTGAAGAGACCTTCCTTGCCGACCTCTTATCATCAGAGTGATAAGAAAATTGATATTTCTTAATAAGCAGCCTACGTATTCTTTTTCATTCCATTCCATCATTCATTCTATATTGTCTATCTACCTTTGCGTTCTCTCCCTCACACATGCAACTACTGCTTCATTTACAACAATATCAATTATATGATATCATTTTCTGGCACTGTAGTTCAGCCTAAAACGTTATTTATACATTGCGCATAAGAATATTAATTAGCACTAAAGATAAGTTTTAATTCTAGATTAACTCATCAAATCTATGAACACGTTTTATATGTAATATAGATTAGTATATATAATACTATTATATAATATTATTTCTATACAATACGAATGCATTCTGACACACAAAGCTGATACACTCTCACCTCCAATTCTAACATAGTCCTATATCCAATCTAATAATACAACCACATATTAACCCTTTGACTTTCCTCTTTCAGGTGAACTTTTCTCGGCCAATGTTCGTGAGGCTGCCGGTAGTTTGAGTACAATGACAAACTGGACATTGGCTTTTATTGTCACGTACTTCTTTGAGAGTATCCAGGTGGGTTCCCTTTTTCTTTGGTAGAGTTACTGTTACTTTATTTTTTTATTATTATTATTATTATTATTTTGGAGGGGGTCTCGTTTTATTTGGTATAGTTTTAGTATTTTTTTTTTTTTTTTTTTTTTTTTTGGGGGGGGTAAAAGTATCATTATTGATGTTCTTGTTATTAATGGTCTTACTATTGTTTTTGATATTGTTCTCGTTCTTGTCTTTATTATTATATGTATTCGTTCCTTCCTATTAGTTGAGTAGGTCTTTATCCTATTAATATTATGTCGTGTTGCTGTAGTATCATTATTCTTATTTATCTTATTGTATTCGACTTTTTCCTTTAGCATAATCAGCCTATCTTTTTCTAAAACTCATTTTGATGCCTTGATATGTACAGACATATTCTGCACGGGATGTCATCCTCAACGATAAGAACTATTTTTCTTGTTATATCTTCTAACAAAAATGTTTACAGTAGCTAGTCTTTGTGTTGACACCCATCTCTTCATCTCTGTTAGCGTGATCCTGTTTCTCCTTTTCGTATAAAAAAGAACTTTAACCAGCTCTTCGTCTTCCTCATCTTCATCAGCGTGCTCTCCTTTCCCCCTTTCATATAAAAAAGAATTTTAACCAGCTCTCCCTCTTCCTCATCTTCATCAGCGTGCTCTCCTTTCCCCCTTTCGTATAAAAAAGAACTTTAACCAACTTCCTTCTTCTTCCTCCTCCTCCAGGAAGCCATCCACGAATACGGTGTGTACTGGCTCTTCGGTGGTATCTGCGCCGTCAACTTGGCCTTCTGTGTCCTGGTGGTGCCGGAGACCAAGGGAAAGACCCTGCAGGAGATCACGGCGCTCTTTGGGGGTCCGGTCACCTCCCCTACGCCTGCCAGACACTCATCGCCTTCGTCAGTGTCCGAGAAACAGAAATGGTAGAGTTTCGTCGAAAGAAAGTCTGGTAATGAATGGCTGAAGGACCTACTCGTCGCGGTTTGCTGAAGGATCTGCTGGTGATGGATCGTTGGAGAGGATCTTCTAGTCATGGATTACTCAAGGATCTTCAAGGGTCGGAAAAGAGATCCTTGGGTTCGAAGGCCATCGCCGAGAAGTGAGATGGATGAATCCTTGAGACACGGAAGGTGTTGGGAAGGTCTTCCCAAGCAGGAAAGGCACGGATAGAATGGGTTTTAAGCCAGTCGATTAATTTTGAGATTTCTTTCCTTGTTCTATAGCAAATGAAATGAATGCTTTATGATACAAAAGTCAAAGACCCAGCATATAACAAGGACGTGGCTTTTTGCTAGAGAGAAGAGGATCCACGCAGTGCCTGAAGACCATATAAAAAAGACCCATACTTTCCTGTCAAAATCTAACGGATACCAACACTAGCTTTTATTTATGAACGAAATATAAATTTCTAAATGCCATAAATCAATGTGTTATGCATGAAATGAACAAGCCAAATATTGCAATATATATACAATATTATTTGACTGTCATGTTCACTTTGCAGGCAATTTTAGACTACTGGCACTCTAATCTTAACCATTTCTTATCCATTTCACATCACTACTTCATCCCTGACACATCTTACCTTACTGATATACCCGAGTCTTCACCTCATATTTATGTACCTATTTCCCTCACCCTATTTCTCTTATGGCCTACGTCCATGCTGAAACTTCACCAAATCATTATTCACGAAAATCTCACCATTTTAGAAAGTAGAATGTTCACTTGTTTATGAAAGAGGACAGCCGTTGTACTGACGCTCCCGTTTTCTGTTGTAGACGAGGTACTGACTGAGCACTGAACAAGTTTCTTAGGTTAAGGTATATAATAATAAATAATAATGTTGACTTGAGCATTTTATTACCTATGTGATAAGATATTTATGAATTAACATACGATCTCTTCAGATACATGAATCCGTATGATGAACGAAATTACCTTTTGTGTTGAGATATTTAAGAAAGAGCATAAGATCTCTTCAGATACATGAATCCGTATGATGAACGAAATTACACCTAAATATCACAGATGAACACAAAATATAGTACTGATTTTGACAAAAAAAAAAAAAAAAATCTAAATATAGGAAATAATGTGAATAGAGAAAAATGCTTCATATTCTAGAACAGTGGTCCTTAACCAGAGTGGGGAGTCAGTATTTTCCAAGGGGGTGCGTACCCTTGGGAGAAAGCAGAATGTTCCCTAAGTACATTTCTTATTCTTAACATGAACATGATCAAATAATGAGATTAATATTAATGCAATGCCTCAATTAAAATACTTGTAGTATGTTAAACCTTTATTGTCAAGTTTATAAAGTGGTAGGCATAAAGTGTATTCAAACTTGCTATATGACAACTTTTGCTTGCACGCACACACACACACACACACACACACACACACATACTAAATAATTGTTACACAATACGAGATAGAAATACTAAGAAAAATAAATCACTAGAAAATTATATAAAAAAAACCCTTAGACTAGCATCCTTTAAAAAATAAACTAATAAATATCTAATCCTTATATTACTTTAGAGCATTTCCTGAGACAGCCGAGGCATTTTATATAATTTCAAAAACTAAAGACTAGATATTTTCCTCAAATGGAAAGGATACAAACATTAAAATTTGGTAAATAACAAAGCATTATAGAAATATCAGAAAACTGTAGGAATGTCATGCACTTATATCACATAATTTCAAGTTACAGAATACATAAAAGGCACAACTTTGTTATAAACCTATGCTCAAACATCTGAATAATACATTATTAATATTATAAACTGCTGACTTACAGTGTGGCCAGCTTAAATCTTCGCAAAACATGAACGGTCGAAAACACAGCGTCTCACATGGCTGTCTGGTGAGGCCTCCGCGGATTCAAAACAAGCGTTTTTGTAAGAGTGAGCGAAAGGGTGCGCCAAAAAAAAAGACACTGAGACAGAAATAGACACAGAGAAAGAAAGGAAACGCTAGAAGACAGACAAAAATAATAAATAGAAATAAAAATACAAACTTTAAATAAATACAAAAAGTACTAAGCAAGCAAGAAATATCTCATGAGGGAGATATTTTCCTGGTAAATGATAACACAATCTGAACTCTCGTCTCATCATCATTTCAATATATCAGTTTAAAGTTTACTAGAATTCCATGTTTATTTTTGTAGTCTTGTAGTGTATTTTAAGGTTGTTATAGTACCGTTTTTCTTTCTTGTAGTATATATATTTTTAATGTATTAATGATAGGATAAGAATTTTGGAATGTATCTTGCAAAATAATTTGGAATGTATTCTTGTAATTTAACAAAGTTGTATTCATTAACATATTTTTCTGTTTGGCAAATTTGTATAAGGTAATGTATTCTTATATTCTTGTTATGCATCGTGAGTAATACACCCTCGCCTAATTTTATATCACTGACCAATAGAATAGAACAGATAACATAACTGAAATCACAAAAGCTGGACATAATGAACAGATTTTCATCAACCGAAGCGTGAATTATCACTCCGTTTTCTGTTTACTTTAGTGACAAAATCGGAGTGCTTCTATACCCAATTCCCCGAAATTCTTTTGATAATAAATGAGTGAATGAATGGATGAATAAATGAATGAATAGATAATAATGTATAATGATAATAATGTATAATGATAATAAGTTTATAAATGAATAAATAAAGCACGTGTTCAAAGTAGGAAAAAAATGGTAGAAAATATTGAACATTGGTTTAGAAATAAAGGTATGGCAACATTAGTATTAAGTCAGTTGATTAGAATGAAAGAGAGACAGAGAGAGAGAGAGAGAGAGAAAGCACAGAGAGATAGAGAACCAGACACAGATAGACACAACACAAAGACAGACAGACAGACAGACAAACAACGTAGAGAAAGAAGAGAGAACCAGAAAGACACAAAACAAAGACAAACAGACAGACAGACACAAAAAAAAGCCCTCGTATCTGTCCAGACATTCAACATTGTCTATATGAAGTCTGGCAATAATGAAACATATTGGGCAAAGATCAGCGATGATAATAGTGATTCCTGATAAAAACTAAGCGTGACTAGATTGGTTTGTCTGCGCTGGCAAGATAAGCAGAGTGATTACGCCATCAGTTGATATTATTAGTATGTAGATAATTATCTTGCTTCGGCAGTGCATATACTAAAATTGGAACGTTATAGAGAAGATTAGCATGGCCCTGCGCAAGCATGACACGCGAAATCGTGAAGCGTTCCACTTTTTTTTCCTTATGGTAGAGCACTGACTTGGAATCTCATGGTCCTGGGTTCGCGCCCGGCTGCCCTTCTCAGTCGACTCAGCTGTGAATGAGCACTGGTATGCTGACGTCAGCATGCTAGGGTCAAAGTCGGGGCGGAAAGGAACAGGTCACCCTGCCGCATCATCCCGCGGCTTAGTCAGCATGTTTCTCTACAAAACATGTTCCTTACGTCCAGATGGATATGGGACCAACTTCGACTTTGAGATAATCATCACTGATATTGTTATTAAATACATTATCATTATAGTTATAATCATATATTTATCATCCTTATTATCATCATAATAATTATAATCATAAAATAATAAATATAATAATATATAATATAACATATGTCAACGATATGGTCAAGCCGGATGATTCACCCTCGCACCTAGGCCCTTGCAGCTGCCTTCCTTCCTGGCATCGCACTTTGTTGCCCAAGTACTTTCTCCCCCTCGAGCAATTCCGGCGAACTCTCCCCTTTGTCACGGCCCAGAAGAACTCACACCAAAATCCAGAAGCCCAGGACAGGAATCGCTGGATATAAGGACGTCTCGTCATGCAGATTGGAGAGACGAGAGACAGAGCAGATAGGAGAACAGGAGCAGACGCAGAGAGAGGCAGGTCACCCTCGCCCTCGCACGGGGCACGGGTCTCTCGTGGGGTCACATCTTTCCTCCCCCAATAAACCAGCAAGGTAAGACCCCGTTCATTCCACCAACTCCACGCTCCCAACCTTATTACAATATATATATATATATTTGTATTCGTGTGTGCATGTGTGTGTGTGTGTGTTTATTTGTGTGTGTTTGTGTATCTCTATATGTACACAAAATCTTAGAATTTTCTGATATTCATTTTATAAACTACAAACAACAACGAAATTTGAAAGAAAATTTTAAATGAAAAAAAAAAAAAAAAGAAAGAAAAAATGAAAAATGAGAAATGAAACGAAAAGGAGAAAGGACTGAAAATCGAAAGCGGGGGAGGGGTAAGGGGGGGGGGTACGGTGCAGTGTCGCTTCCCGCCTTTTCTCAGTCGCTCACGAACCTCTGTGCTCGACGGAAGTGCGTCTTGTTCCTCGTCTGGGATTGTGTGTGTGTGTTTTGTTTACGTTTTGTATGAATTATTATTTTTTGTGTTTTTTGGTTCCCCAATTTATTGGATTGTATGTTTTAGCTTTTTTTCTTTTATTCTATTCAACCGTCTGTCTGTCTGTCTGCCTGTTTCTGTATGACTGTCTCTCTCTCTCTCTCTCTCTCTCTCTCTCTCTCTCTCTCTCTCTCTCTCTCTCTCTCTCTCTCTCTCTCTCTCTCTCTCTCTCTCTCTCTCTCTCTCTGTCTTCCACTTCTCTGCCCTCCCCCCCCTCTCTCTCTTCTCTTCCTCTCTGTCTTCCTCTTCTTCTCCCTCTCTCCTCCCCCTTTCACCTCACTCTCCTCCCTCCCTCCCTCCCTCCCTCTCCCCTCTCCGTTTCCCACTCATTCAAATAGAAAATAAAAAGCACAACATTGGAAACTGAAACCGGTTAAAGAGGAAACAAGCCTACAATTTCGTAGTCACTTAATGAGTCCTTCAGGTGTGACTTATTCTGAGAAAATGAACGAAGGCAAAGCGAAAAGATATTAAAAAGAAAAGGAAAAAATCCTCTCTCTATATATATCTACCTATCTGTCTATTTATCTCTTTGAATATCTATCTATCTATCGATCGATCTATCTAGTCATGTATATATCAAGAGAGAGCGATATACATATACATTGATATATAGATAGATAGGAAGACACACACACACATACACATATATATATATATATATATATATATATATACATATATATATATATATATATATATATATATATATATATATATATATATATATATATATATATATATATATATACATATATATATATATATATATATATATATATATATATATATATATATATATATATATATATATACATTATATATATATATATATATATATATATATATATATATATATATATATATATATATATATATATATATATATATATATATAATTTTCCTCAGCAATGAAATCCAAACAGCTGTTCCGGCTGAGTCTCCTGTCCCTCCTCGGCGTTTTCTTGGTCCATCAGCTGATCCCAGCCACTCATCTGAATCCATATGAAAATGTAAACAAACTCTTCTACGGGTATTTAGGAGGACAAAGGCATGGAGGAGGAAATGGAGGTAGGGGAAGAGAAGGAGGTGGAATAGGGGCAGGAGGAGGAGGAAAAGGAGGTGGACAAGAGGAAGAGACGAAGGAATCGGAGGCGGAGGAAGAGAAAGCGGAGGCGAAGGAAGAGGACAAGGAGATGGAGGAAGAGAAAGAGAAGGAGGCGAAGGAAGAGGACAAGGAGGTGGAGGAAGAAGAGGAGGAGGACAAGGAAGCGAAGGAAGAGGACAAGGAGGCGGAGAAAGAGGAAGAGGTGGAAGCGATGGAAGAGGACAAGGAGGCGAAGGAAGAGGAAGAGGAGGAGGACAAGAAGGAGGTCGCATTCTCCCGAAGACGATCCTGCTGTGGACGCGATGGAGAAGCG